ATATATATATATATATATATATATACTGTATAGTATATACATGTGTTCCCCACCTCCCTCAGAACCTGTCCAAAGTACTCCGGGATGTGTGAGTTGAAGCTCCGTCTGATGGGAGACTCTGACAGACGTTCCCAGCAGACCCTCACTATACGTTTGGGTCTGCCAGGTCTGACCAGCGTCCTCCCCCCACCAATGGAGCCAACTCGCCACCAGGTAGTGGTCAGTTGACAGCTCCGCCCCTCTCTTCACCCAAGTGTCCAAAACATGCGGCCGAAGATCAAATGAAACGACAACAAAGTRMATCATCGAACTGCGGCCTAMGGTGTCCTGGTGCCAAGAGCACATATGGACACCCTTATGCTTGAACATGGTGTTTGTTATGGACAATCCATGACGAGCACAGAAGTCCAATAACAAAACACCATTCGGGTTCAAATCGGGGGTGGGGGGGCATTCATCCCAACCACGCCTCTCCAGGTCTCACTGTCATTGCCCACATGAGCGTTGAAGTCCCCCAGCAGAACGAGGGAGTCCCCATCTGGAGCACTCTCCAGCACCCCCTCCAAGGACTCCAGAAAGGGTGGATAATCTGAACTGCTGTTAGGCTCATAGGCACAAACAACAGTCAGGACCTGACCCCCGACCCATAGGCAGAGGGAGGCTACCCTCTCGTTCACCGGGGTGAACCCCAACGTACAGGCACCGAGATGAGGGGCAATAAGTATGCCCACTCCTGCTCAACGCCTCTCAGCAGGGGCAACTCCAGAGTGGAAGAGTGTCCAACCCCTCTAGAGGAGACTGGTTCCAGAGCCAGACCGGTGCGTCGAAGTGAGTCCAACCATATCTAGTCAGAACCTCTCAACCTCACGCACCAGCTCAGGCTCCTTCCCCACCAGAGAGGTGACATTCCACGTCCCTAGAGCCAGCTTCTGTAGCCGAGGATCGGACCGCCAAGGTCCCCGGCTTCAACCACTGCCCAACACACAATGCAACCAACRCCTACAGCCCCTCCCACAGATGGTGGACCCACATCTCCTCTTCGGGCTGTGCCCAACCYGGCTCCATGGGCGAAAGCCCGGCCACCAGGTGCTCACCAACATGCCCCATCTCCAGGCCTGGCTCCAGAGTGGGGTGACCCTCGTCCGGGCGAGGGAACACTGAATCTATCCATCGTATTCATCATAGGGGTCTTTGGGCTGCACTTTGTCTGATCCCTCACCTAGGTCCTGTTTGCCTTGGGTGACCCCACTGGGGGCATGAAGCCTCTGACAACATAGCTCCTAGGATCATTGGGACACTCAAACCTCTCCACCACGATAAGGTCGCAGCCCAAGGAGAGATGGCCATGACTGATTTTAGTAAATTTCAAATGTTTTATTTTTAGATATTTAACTGATTTAGCACTTTGGATTTAAGGATGTAAAGTGCTCTATAAATTAAATCTATAATAATAATAATAATAATAATAATAATAATAATAATAATAATAATAATAATAATAATATAAAATTAAACATAAAAATATAGGGTTAGTTTAACAATGTCAGGTTAATAAAGATACATTAAATTAAATAAAACCATTAAATATAGAAAGATGTATTTTGTAGGGGGCGTGTCTCTGCAACAAGTCCCTTTTCTAAAGTTATCGTATTTTGAGAAAAATTCTCGTACAAACAAATATGAATTATGATAAATATTTAGAAAAAGMTTTTGAACCTTATTTCCCATATTGTCCCTTTTCTGACAAACCAGGCCTCTTTGGGCCTGTGTTTGCAGAGTAAAGCAGTTCTTGTGCATGTTGAACAGACCCACACTGACCCACTTTTGCCTTTCGTTCTGTGGCCCTGTTTGCCTCCTGGGGGTCCGCATCAGGTGCCAGCATGATGGTGACCTGCTGCAGCCATCTCTATTGTCTGTAAATCAGCAGCTTTATCACAATACGATGTTAGATTGATTGGTTTGGTTGATGATACGATGTTAGATTGATTGGTTTGGTTGNTGATACGATGTTAGATTGATTGGTTTGGTTGATGATACGATGTTAGATTGATTGGTTTGGTTGATGGTACGATGTTAGATTGATTTATTTGAATGATTACACAATGTTTCTCTATCACAAAATCTGTCATCATACAGTTTCAGTTCACTTCACAAGTCTGTGATGGATATGYTGCAATGTCARATGCCATCTAACACAAAWGATTGRGTGATCCATGTTTTAGTTTTGTCTTGATGTAATTGAATTAATAATCATTTAATTGATTTATAGATGTATTGTCTTAATCCTCAGTAGAGATGGGGCGAATGGCTCTTTGAAGGGATCTGGATCTTGGCGAGTCGTTTGTTTCATAGAACTGTTCATCTCTGAATGAGTAWCATCATCACGGTCATATGACGTATGTCATCACATGCGGTGCAGGTGATGATGTCACTACATCATGTGGGCGGATCCGTATGCTTTGTTAAGTGCCCCCCCGCCTTTCTGTGAAAAAGCAAAGGAGCAGTGATTGTCTCTGTGGTTAAGGAGGAAAAATAGATATTATGAGGAAAAAAATTAAAACTACAGCTCTTTACTGTCTGCAACTCAGTTCTTATTGTTCGTTGCAAGGAACCTTTAAAAAGATTTGTATCATTRGTGAACGTCACATCTCTGCTCCCCAGTCCAAGTGGAGTACAAGTTTAACAGGCAGACATCAGTCTTGAAGGAAAAGCTCTTTYGGGGACTAGTGCCCACCACTGGTTGAACTTTAGGGTCTTGGTTTGGTCAGATTGTTGTCCTCTTCCCTGTTCAGAGCATTAAAAGCAGGATTCACACAACATACACTCACAGAACGTTCATCAGACAGGGTGTCAGTGAAGTCCTGGAGTCGGCCTTGCTCACAGATTCCAGGTCCTCCAGGTCCTCCAGGTCCTGCCTTGAGGAGCAGAAAACTGTGTGGTCTGTGGAGAGACCTTTGGACAAAGTGTTTTGTTGTTCCAGGACTTTTCTTCTGATCCTCTGAGTGGAACCTGGTGTTGTTGGACAGTCTGTCTGAAGTTGGACAGTTGTTGGACACTCTGACACTGTGAGMTTGAGCTCTGTGAGTTTCCCTCGGTTTCATTGTCCTCCGGCTGTGGGACAAGAGGCCCATGGTCTTCCTGCATGTCCCAACAGACCTGTTAATAGAGCTTTTTCCAAAGACTCTGCTTCATTTCTGTAACATTTCATTTCTTCAGTGAGACCGGAAAACATTTAATATAAACACTTTGATTACATCCAGACTAATCATAATCTCTCTAATCTCTGAGACATATATTCCCTCCCCACCCCCGACATACTGCCATTCTGTCTGGAAACTTTCTGGGCTCTCAGAGATGGGTGGGTGGTTGTATTCTTTAGGGCTGACTCTGTGATGTGAGTAGCTTCATACTTGTTCAGGATAGACTTGGGTCAATGACTTAATTAATGCTCACAGCTGGTTTAGGGAGTCAACAGTTTATTTTAAAGTGAATATAAAGAGGTCTGATTTAAGTTTGAAGTTTGCCTTCCTCAAAGTGAGGACCGGTGTGTTCAGTGTGTAAATCTGATGGTATTTGTTTCTGAACCAGATGGAGTAGAGTCATGTTCTGATGTTGATGCAAATCATCATCAGAACAAGTCTCAGCTCTAACCACAGAGGCACAGAGGTATTAGATTACACGACGAAGGTCCGGCTGATGAAGAAGAGGATCAAAGMTTTATCCAGTGACCCGTGATGCTATTTATTGCTTAGACAATATTTATAAATCACTGCCTATCTTTGTGTGGGCTGCTTGCAGAACTATTGTAGACCATGTTTAKTATTTCATCACCAGAAAATGCCATAACAATCAAAAAGTGCCCAACAGAAACTGGAAATTCTGAATGTTGGCAGAAAGACGACCCTCACTCTAACTTATAAAAATGTTATGACTATTTTACTCATATTGGCTGTTATATATTTGATGTAATTGTTAGCATCACAACAGGGTAGA